ATTTTAGATCTAGATTTAGATCCAAAAATAAAATTCAATCTCAGTTCTAGATCTAATTAAAATAGAATTCATAATCATGAAAAAAAAATTAAATCTAGAATGGAGAAAAAAAAATGAAGAGAATTTGTATGGTAAAAATAAACCAGGAACTCGAATTTTACCACAATTCATGTAATCTTGAATCGATTTAATGCACTAGTCACACATCTCCATCGAGTTTCTACAATTCCTTCATTAAAAAAATATAGAGAAAAAATCGAGAGAGAGAGAGAGAGAGAGAGAGAGAGAGAGAATTTAGAGAAACTTGTAGAGAAAAAAACTCTAAATTTTGGAAAATGAGAGAAATGTACATAACAAATCTCACAAAACCTATTAATAGACTAATATAGTGTGCCTAATCAAAATATTTACAAGACTCAACCCACTAATCAACTAATTAACAAGCTTATTAATACAATAAGTTCAAAAAGTAAACCTAAAATTAAGTGCATATGTGTAATATTGAGGCTCATATTTGAACCCTTAAACATCTGAATTGGGTGAAACTTCTAATAGAGAAGTTGTAGATTTTTGTCTTAGATTTCCAAGGGCACCAAGAACATCTCATTCTGAGTTTGGGAGCTCCAAATATGGCCTGTGCAAGACAACACAACAAAGTGGAAAAAAATCACGAAAATTAACTAGAATTTAGAATTGAAACCAAAATAGTCCACTAAAAGAAATATCAACCAATTCATCAATTTAAGACACTTAAAATGTCAAATAATTCTAATGTAATGTACTAAAATATGTATTACCTATGCACTATCAATCATCTTAGACTCTTACACCTCCACTCTCAGGTTGATCGCGAACGTCGATAGTAACTCTTCTCTTTTTCTAGCATGGAAGATTAGGAACATGATGAGATGAATTCTCATTATCAACTTCAAGTCCTTTCCTTTAAACCAATTTAGCATTTCTATCAGGTAAAGAATTAGGGGTCTAACTTGAACTTATTCTTCAAAATTTTCTAATTGAAATAATGAAGACCTCATCAAATGTTCATGACACTCACTCTCTAAATCTTTAGAAAGGTTACTTTAACCAAGAAGATGTAAAATCTCTTAACAATCCAATGGACAAGGTAATTTTTACAAAATATTTATGTTGACCTCCTCAACAGGAGAAAGGACAATATCATGAATACTTGTAAACCTTATTGAGTTTGATTGCTAATATAGGGGAAATTTAAGCTTCCCATCAACGTGAAAGATGTTGTCAACTTCAAGATGATTATCAAGGGGACTAACCTTAATAAATTCACTCTTGAAATTCTTATATGAGGGACAAATAAAGTAAAAAAGCCTTGAGAATGGATTTCATTTAATAAGGCCCAACCTATAGCTTTGCTTTACTTTAGATGGTAAAAGTGCATAAACTTATGTAAAGTAAGTTGGATATTCATAAGAGAATAAATTAAAGTATTTAAAAAACCCTAACTATATATTAGGATAAAGCTATGTGGGAGTAACATTAATATTAGTCAAGAATTCACATTCAAAAAGAGTGAAAGGTGTAACAGCCCAATTTTCACAGATTGTTTGAGGGCTCAAAGGCCCAATAAGGGTGATTTAGTAGCCCAGAAAGGGTCGTTCCCATATTGGAACGGGTCATTCCAAACTACTAAAATGAGAGTGATTTTGTAGCCCAGAATTGTCTACCAAAATACAAAAATTGTCTAAAAATTTTAGATGGGAACGAGGTGTTCCCAAATTGGAACGGGGCGTTTCAAATTACCAAAAATGCCTATAACCCTAATTGAGAACGAGTCGTTCCAGATATGGCTGTTGTGGGTTAAGTGCAACCCTAGAACGGACCGTTCTAGTTTAAGAACAGGCCATTCTGGATGAGAATTTTACACATGCCGTCAGAGTCCAGAACGAGTCATTCTAGATTTGAAACGGGTCATTCAGGCGACGCCTGAGGCCTATAAATAGAACCCTCTAACACTCCCAAAAGGCACACCTTTTAGTTCTGACTTCTTTTAGTTCTGACTTCTTTCTTCTACATTCTCTTATTTTTCTTCTACACTCTCTGAAGATCGAGGGGCACTCAAAGGAGGAGACCAAGGAGATCTTTGTTTTAGTTTCAGCTACTTTTTATCCAGGTACAGGGGAAAAGGGAATTATTTGTATGTAAAGTTACATGAGGGAATTGGGTAGAGGAAGAGTCCCTTAAGATTATAAGTAATTTTATAATTATTTTTGTTTGAGGAATTGTTGATCCCATTAGATTTTACATGTATTGAGGATTAGAAATATATATTTAATTTGTAAGAATGATGATTTGGGAGAAAGAACGAAATTATAAAAAAGTGTCTGTAAGCTAGGTTTTGGAAAAATTGAATTATTTCTGTTTGAAGAATTGATGATCCTATTAGATTCGGTATGTGTTGAAGATTAGAAATATATATTTAAGTTGTAAGAATAATGATCTGGGAAAGAGAACGAAATTGTAGAAAAGTGCCTGTAAGTTAGGTTTTGGAAAAATTTGGAGTTTTATTATTTGATTTAATGTTGTATTAAATTGGTGAATTAATTGGTTTTTATGTTAATTTATAAATATTATTGTTATATTATTGTTATAGATGTGTATTCATGGTGAATTGCTAGATGGGTATGTGAATCATTGTATTGTGTGGACTTATCTGTATGTAATATGGAATTTGAGTTATGAACTGAGATGTGTGGAATGTGAATAAAATGTGATTGCGGATCCTCATACTGATGACCAAGGGTGAGCAGGGCCCTTGGCTGGTAAAAGGGTAGCGTGACCTTGGCACAGTGTTATGTCAAGGGTGAGCATGGCCCTAGGCTACTAAAAGGGTAGCGTGACCTTGACATAGTTTTATGTCAGGGGTGAGCACGACCCTAGGCTGAAGGGTAGCCTGAACTTGACATACTAAGATTTGTGATGATTTTGATTGTGATGTGATTGTGGTTCCTCACACATATGACCAGGGATGAGACGACCCTGTGTAAGTGGTGTTACAGGAATGGCGTGCCCCTGGCATAGTGTGGGATGAGTGAGGCAATTAATACGTATCACTTATGTCTAGAGTGGCACGACCTTGAGGTGGCGTGACCATTGACATAGTGTTAATTGCAAGATTTGTGTGATTGTGAAATTGTGATGTGAATATGATGCATGATTGATAGAATTAGAATGTATGGATATGCTTGTAAAGACTTCATTAATTGATGAGATTATGCTGTGTTTTTCCTTGTGTGCTTTACATATAGATGTTTTCTTTTCTCACCATGCAATTGTGGATGTTTTAGGTGAGGAAGATCCGGCTATGAGTGACATCTAGAATGCCAACGGTTGAATTGTGGGTATGCTCTGATATTGTGACATCGGGGCAGAGGATTTCTAGGACATGGATTTTTATATGGATTTGGAGTTTTAATTATTACTTTAAAAATAATTTGTAAACTCTTACGTTTTATTTTTCAATGTTCATTTTCAATCATTTTGGATATTGAAGAACATTTGTGAAGGTTTTTATGGGAACCCTTTTACCAGTGTTGAAAAAATTATTTCCTTAGTTTAATTACATTATTACACTATATGTATTGGGGGTAGTAAGGGTGTCACATTTAGTGGTATCAGAGCAGGTTGATCTAATTGGCCGTGATTTATGAGTCTACTATGCTTGTTTGGTAGATGAGTGATAGAATGAATTGATTGTGGAATTTATTGATATGCTAGTATGATGATTGATTATGTTTGTTGTTATTTAATTGTGTTTACTCTAACAATTTTTTGCATTATGATGAGGATAATGATGATGTTTCCCTTGTGTTGTTAGTGTTGTGCTTACTTGTGTATTGTTTTCTCAAAATTTGGTTGAAAGACATGATATAGCTTAGTTGATGTTATTCATGATTGCTTATTTGTTTTGATACTTCTTGCTTACGTAAGAAGTAGTGGTTGAGTGGTATTGCTCGTGTTGCGAGCATATGTGCCAGTAGTAGTGGACGAAGCCTTGTGCTAACCAACTATAACTATTAGAACCTTGGATATGGGTGAGACATGGATTTGTCGAGTGTATTAAGACTTTATGATTGGTAGAGTTTCTGAAATCTATAGTTGTAGCGATTGAATCCAAGGAGGTTGTATGTTGAGAATTGTAGTTTTGGTATTCTTAAGGAGAGATTGAAGTGTTGATGATTTCTGGAGTTAGTGCTTGTATGTTAACTTTTTATGATTTAGGTAGCATGTGAGTTTTATTTTCTAAGTCTTTTGTGATGAATGTGAGTTGTGTTGATTTAGAATTGTAGTGGAAAGCTTGAATATGAGTTCGAGGTGGCAAGGAGTGAGTTTGAAAGGATTGAGGTATTTTTTTGTGTAAAATTTATAATTTTTATATAATTTTAGCTTTCTATTCTAGGAAATAAATATCTTTATAAAAAAAATACCTTTTTATTTTTCCTTTTTTTGAAAATATTTTTCATATTTCAAAGTAAATAAAAATCTACGCATTTTCGCATCTTCTATTTGGATCTAGTATCTACCATATTCTTATTTTCTTTCTTTTTCATCAATTTAACCTCATTTGGGTTCAGGGCTCGTCTATTTGCAATTTTAGTTAGTATACTAAAATCTTTCAAGAAAAATAAATAAATTTAAGATACAAAAACTTTGAAAAAAAAAACATGATTTTTTTCACAACTTGAAAAACAAGTTTCACAAAACAGAAAGGAAAATATCATTGCAAGTATATTAATTTATTTTAAAAATCTACCTAAACATAACTTTAATCTCAAAATCATTCTATTTTGAGAATTACGACTAACAAATATTTATATAATTTTTTGAATAATTCTATTGCTAAGGTAACGTAATTTGAACTCTCTTTTTGCATGCCTGTGTCTCTATCAATGAATGGAAAGGGAGAAAATAGTGTAAACAAACATGAAAAAAAATCGACGTAATATAATAATAAAACAACACCCTTAACTAATTAGGTTGCGGTCCCACAGGCCACAACCATTTTATTATGAATATCATATCAAAAGTCTTTTTCACATAACTGAAGTACCACTGTAAGAACGTAGAATCAAACACACCATAATATGAAAGTCTTGAACAAAAAAAAAAAAAAAAAGGCACACCAAAGATAGTATGATACAGCGTCATCGGTCTTTTATTCGTCACCCGTGAAGAACTTGTAATAGGAAGATGAGCCCAATGAAGCACCACTGAGCTTAAATTTCCTGATGAATATAATTAAATTAAGATGGTATTAGAATTATTTTAAATTTTCTTAAAAAAATCACCATTTTTAATCATTAAAAAAGGTTGACAATTAGAAGAGAGGGACAACAATTATCCCACAGGTGCGCTTCATATCTCCCTGTCCACCTATATCTTCAATTAGAAAAAGAAAATAAAAACTAATTTCATCATCATTCTCACAATTTTTTTTTAAAAAAATCAATAGAATAAATTTAAAAAAAAAAATAAAACAAAAAAAAAAAACTGATCACAAACTAAACTGAGGTGAAGCATTGTTGCAACAAGAAAAATCGATGTCACAATTTTACCATAGAAGGGGATGCAACAGTACGTAGCTAAAAACATAATTGTTGCAACTGTTTTGATAACAGCATATAGAAATCTCATAAGAAGGAAAAGGGAAAAGAAAATCACCTTGTGATGTCCTTCAGTACAGAAAGAGCCGCGGCCATGTTCCTGTGAATCAAACAAAATCCCCAAGTCAAGAACTGGATCTTAGTTTATCCGACAATTAACAGCAAAAAAAAGATGAAAAAGAATGGAAATAATAAAGAGAGAAGAGGGAAATTAAAGGTGCAGAGACCCTGTTGAGGTGCAAAGAGAGAGAGAGAGAGAAATAGGATGAATGATGGGTTTGTGGGTGAGAAGGTGACAAGGAGGAGATGCCAAGTTCATTTTTTCTTCTTCGGAGGGTCTGATGAGTAAGAAAGATCAGATTGAATGGTGAGCGTGGAGTTCTTCTTCACTGCCTTAGGCTTCACACCACTTTGTTTGGGTTTCTCTGTTGGTTTTCTGGGTTTTTTTCCTTTGCCTTTGGAGCTCGAATAGCCTAAAAGGTTTTGGAGCTCCATAGGCCAAGTCATTTGGGGAAGTGGTGGGCGTCCAACAAAACACCAAAGCAAGTAGTAATGGGTTTGGTTTTCGCAACGGTTGTGAGTTTATCTTTAAATAAGGAAATGAATCAATAGGGGCATTCGCACAAATACCACAACACTCATTTATTACATTATTAATTAAAAGAGAATCTTTCTTTCTTAAGATAAGGAAAAAAAGATAGAAAGAAAATTATTCAACGGAACACATAAAACCCTGCAAACAATGCAACCACATGGCTCCAGCACCAAGCGCTTCAAAGATGAAATTTCAGCACCACTTCACTATTCAAACTATCCTCTTTTTTTTTTTTTTTTTTTTTTTAAAAACATTATAGAACTACAATATATATATGTTTATAAACTTTAACCGCGAAAGATGACCTGCATAGTCCTACAGTTATATTACAACCGCAGATGTACATTACGTGTGGAAACAGTGTTTGGATATTAAGCGAAATCAACGGTTTATGATGTAGGTTGCCTCAAGCTCAATTAAATAATCGCGAACACCTTTGTTCGAATATAAGACAAAGTTTGACCCTGCACAGTGTACCCAAATTAATTGTGCTTATTTTATAAAGATTTACTTTTATTCCAAATTTAAACTTCATTTACTTTGATATAAAATCTTTAGACTATCAATTTGTAAAAAACAATTATTATCACGAATGGCTCCAGACTTGTACTTCCTTAATAAGGAGTAGGATTTAAAAGAAATTTTAAATATTTTTAAAGCGAGAAAAAAGCTATTTTATGTTGAAGAAATAGTAATAACTTTACAGTTTACATAGTTAATTATTTTACTTTTGCTTTTTTTTTTTCTTTAAGCATATTTTAATATTTATAATTAAAAAGAATACACTTTTGAAATAGTACGAAAACTTGACAATCGATGTTTGATGAAGGTTCCATGCATGCAAACAGACGTGGACACGATATTCGACGCAAAGTTATTATCTACTGTAACGCACACCCATGATGTACTCTTAGTGCTTCTTTTTAATATAAAACAAAACCGTATATGTAGGTGTTGAAATTTACGTGTCTGCAATCAATGGGAACTTGAGGATCATACAAAATACTCTCTTTGTATTGAATGGATGAGATTAAAAGGTCACAAACTTGCATATTTGATGGGCAAGTTGTAGATTCAAGTGTTTTTTTTCTTGGCTTAATTGTGTTTTTATCCCTCAAGTATTGTAATTGTGCAATTTTGATCCTCAAGGATTTAATTGAATAATTTTAGTCCTTAAAAGATTATAATTGTGTAATTTTAGTCCTTTTCCATTAAAAATTTAATAATTTTAAAATTGTAATATATATATATATAATGTTTTAAAACTATATAATTTTTTGCTTATTTTAATTAACGTATATAATAATTTTTGTTAATATACTAAATGATATATATTTATTATTACTAAATAAATAAAATTTATATATTATTAGTATTTTAATATTACTTATAAATTAATATTAATAATATTTTTACTATATATATAGATAAACTAATAATTTGATAAATATAACTTAATATATATTAATATAATTTTACAAAAATTTAAATATATAAGATCAGATATATATTTCTAATTAATATACTTATATTTTTGTAAAAATATATTAATATATAACAAGTTATATTTATCAAATTATTAGTTTATCTATAAATATATTAATAATATTATTGATATAATATCGAAAATTATAATATACGTTAATTTGAATAGATAAATAATTATTTAATTTTAAAACATTATATATATATATATATATATTAAAATTATTAAATTTTTAATGAGAAAGACTAAAATCGCATTATTATGATATTTGAGAGACTAAAATTATTCAATTAAAAATTAAAGAACCAAAATCGCACAATTGCAATACTTGAAGGATTAAAAAAATGCAATTAAGCCTTTTTTCTTTGTTTAAATTTTTAAATTATGATAGGATCCCCTCTTTTTTTTTGTTCGTCCTTGGAGTATCTATGTCCGATAGCAGTGACTAATCTCCTCGTTACGTTGGAGGCACCTCAAAGGGTGGGATATATGACCCCAAGATTTAACGCGGCTGCATACACAAAGCAGAATTCGAACTCCTGACCTTGCTTAAACGTGGATCAACCTCTACCGCTGAATCACACGCTTGGTGTTATAGAATCCCCTCTTAATTATAGTGTGCCTCTTTAGTTTTCTTTAAAAAATAAAAACTCTTAAAACTTTTTTAGTTTTCATTTTATTCTTTAAAGTTTTTAGTTTTCATTTTAGTTTTCTATGCTTCTTTTATTTCCTTTTCCTTTTGTATTGTAATTAATTGTATACTATAGTAGTTTTATGCTCAACACGCACATTCTATCGTCAAACACTCAAGTATTTCTAATAAAAATTCAAATTTTTTAATTTTAGTTTTTTAAATATTATTTAGATTTAAAAATGTTATTTTATTTTTAAGATGAATTTTATAATTAAAAATATTATATTTATAAGGATAATTTTCCCTTTAATCAAATGATAAAAATACACTTTTATCTCTTGTATCCTTTTACCCATTTTTTCTTATCAAGTCTAAAAATATAACGTACTGCCATACGTGTCCAGACAAGGTCAAGTTGTCCAGCGGCAGTTTGTTTATAATTAACATTTAATTTTTTCTTCAAGACAATTAACAATATACTTTATAGAAAATTTTAAAATATTATATTCATGAAAGTAAAAAAATATGTATCTCTTTTCATTACGTTAGTATTTGACGTGGAGAACCAAGCTTAGATTTATCAAATTAGTTTGTGCCATATAATATTCCATTAAATTAAAGAACTGCAACAAACGTTGAGTAAAATTCAAACATGCACCATTATACAGGTTATTTTTTTTATTTATTTAATTATTGTAAAAAATTTGGTTCTCACAGAAAAATTGATTCTCTGCCAAACTTTTCCATCAGTTGTGTCTTCAGTGGAGCCTCTTTCAAAGAATTATTTTTATTTTAAATTAAAACTCAAATAAGAATCACCCGTTCTACATGGTTTTAATTTTTATTTCATATTCATTTTTTTTAACTATTGTTTATCAAATAAATTATATAATTGTGTAAATTCGTTTTATGAAAGGCACAAAGAATTAATGTTGCATTTCATAAGAATTAATTTTGTAAAGGTCTTTTCCATGGTAAAAAAATTTACTTCTATAATAATATAAAAATATTTATATTAACGGTACATGCCTATTAATATTCTAGGATGGTACTATCTATTATATTCAATCTATTATATTATTTTGATTTTTGTGCAGACTTCTTTTTATTGATTGAAAATCACAAAATATGTCAAGTATTAGTCCTACATTTCATTTAAAGAATCTTTCTTGTGATATTATAATTTTTAAAGAATTTAATTTAATAAAAAAAGTGTGTTAAAATATGTGTGATAGAGAATATATGTTATTATTACTTATCGTTATTATACATTTGAATTCTTTGTATCTCTTATCTCATTTCTTTTCTTTCTTTGTACTTTATTTATCGCATTTATCTTTATTTTTTTTCTTTATTTTTTCTCTATCTTCCAACTTTTTATTTGGCTAGACTCTAATATGAAATATACGCTAACACTTTTATTATACAAAGGCACAATAAAGTCAAAGAGTATTTTATAATGTTTACACTTTGAGTATGTTTAGCAAAACATTGAAAGAGTTTATAAGTTACTTTGACTAGCATATAAGTTTATTTAATCAATATAAACTTGCTTGACATTAGTTTAGAAACCCATAACTTATTTTCATAAGTTACTTGGAAACTTTTAAAAATAAACTAACATGTGAACCTCTAGTTTTTTGTGTTTTTTATTTTATTTTTATTCTTATTAATTAATTTATTTGAAATATCTTGTTATCTGAAAAATAACTAAATATAATTTTTTATGTCATTTTATATTTATCACTCAATTGTGCTAAACACTTCTAATTCATGGTAGGAGTAATAAATTAGTTTAATTATTTTTTTAATAGCAATAATTAGTTTATTATTTTTCTTAATAAGAGTAATAATGTACGGTATAGGAGTTGTCATTTGTCCTTATAAAAGGATGCTTTTGTAACTTTCTACATACAATAAAATACGATTTTATTTTTCCCTTTTTCTATTATAGCATCAGAGCGACATTTTCCTGCATCTCTTCCGCACAAGATCTGAAACAGTTTTTTTTTTTTACTTGGTTTTTGGATCTTTGATTCTTTTTTTCTTCTTTTTTGAGTTTTGTTTTCTTCTTTCTTGGTCATAGAGAACACAATGTCTAGTGATGATGATGCATCAATTGATCAATCAGAAAATCCAAGCAGTCCATATTATTTGTTTTCTTGAGAAAATTCAAGATTGGTTCTTGTCACATTACATATGAATGGAAAAAGATTATCATACCTAGAGTCAGACCATGAAAAGAGCATTGTTTTCCAAGAACAAGTTGAAGTTCATCAAGGGATTCATACCAATTCAGAGCGAGAATGATGCGAATTTTTAGTTGGGAGAGCTGCAATGTTATGGTGAGTTCATGGATCACTAGAACGTTAAGTCCACAGATAGCACATATCACCATATACATAGATAATGCAAAGATCTCATGGGAAGATTTGAAAGAAAGGTTTTCTAAAGGGGATAATTTCATAATTTCAGACCTTCTTCAAGAGATTCATTCAATTAAACAAGGTGTGTAACATTGTTTTGTGAGTTGTATGTTTATTTCAAATTTCAATATTTAATTAATTTATGTTGATGTAATACTTTGGTAATTTAGAACTTTAAGGATTTAGAAATTCCTAAGAGTCAGTACTTATTGAAAGTTGTTTTGTCTTAAGGTCAAAGTTGTCCTAAAATGAGGGAAGGTATGAAGTTTTCTAAGAACTTGAAGTTCATAAGTTTATTTCTCAAAGTTTTAGAGAAATAAAGTTTGGGCCTAAAGAATATCTTACTTTATTTTCACTTTAGTAGAGTGATTAGATCTTTCTCCTGAGTTGCTTGTGTGGTAGGTGGGTTAAGATTCAAAGTTGAGGAACTGAATATCAATTAGAGAGTCACCCTAT